CGGCGGCAACAACATCGACAACAGCGACAACAAAAGACCGAAACAGGCAACAAAAAAACAAAAAAAAAAAGAAATAATTAATATGCCTCAAAAATATCCCGGCCAGCTTTTATGACAGCAGGTCGGTCGAAGGGAGGATTGCAATACTGCAACTGCAACTGAATCGGGATTGCAGCTGCACTTGGACGCTGGCCGCTTTTCCGCCGGCAGCAGCGGCAGTTTAACTAACGGCTTCTGTGCTTGTTGTGCTGCCGTTTCCGCATCTCGGTGTCGCCTCAGAATGTGCACGATTTTCCTTCAGATTCAATTTCAAGTGCAGCAAAAGCAGCAGCAATAGCAGCGGCAATAGCAGCGGCAATAGCAGCAGCAACAAGGGGCAAGCGCCGCTATTAAGTCGACGACAACAACAAGCAATAACCCTAACCGATGCAGCCGCCAGCTCAGCCAGCCTGCCACTGTCTGCCGCTTCTTGCCGAGATTTCTATCTTTGATCTCTTACTCCACATGGAGCAGCAGCAGCAGCAGCAACTGCAACAGCAGCAACAGCAACAGCAGCAGCATTTGCCGCATTATGTGGCAGGGCAGCCGGTGCTGTCTGCTTGTTAAATTGCTCATTTAAACCATAACGAAATGGTCTGTGCCTGGGGACAGCTCCAGAGCATGTGCCTTCCTAGAACCAGCCCACTCAGAAAAACAAAACCATATCACTTTCAGCTCGGTTGTAAAATAAATCGCGAACACAAAGTGTCACAAGCCCCCAATGCATTTGGTTTTCAAAGAGCTTTTATGGTCTATCAGAATTTAAATACAATATCCTTGTAGATTAGGAGGATTCTGTAACGGAGACGCCAAAAAATTGTTTAATGTATATTAATATCTTTCTCTAATGGAGAGACCATAAATACTTCTATTAATACATATATTATGCTTTTTAAAATGGTCCTACTTAGGTTCCTAAAAAATGCACACAAATTTTAGCACATACAATTTAATAGGTAGACACATTATAATATTATGCTAACAAATCGGAATTATTTTTATTTTAAAGTAGGGATATCTTACTATATTGAAAGAAAAATATTTTTCCTAATATTGTGGTATTCCTAAAAGTGATCATTTAATATTTGTCGTAAAAAATTCAGACTTTTTCATTTCCTAAAAGAATTTATGTTATATATTTGTACATATTTTATTTTACATATTCTAAAAAATACTGTTAATATATTTTCCAAAATGTGTACCGATATTTACACATTTCTTTCAGTGCAGCCACTTGCTTCTCTGGCCTCCTTGTAGATGGAAAACCGCCATCGATGCGGCGGCCGTGCAAATTGCCCGGAGTCATGTGGCGACCGAATTGCCAAAGGCATTTTTAATTAGCATGCAGCGGAAATTAGTCGAGTCCAATGCTAATGCCAAATGCAAGGCAATGGGAACCGAATAGATTCGTCGATTTGTCGGCCGCAGGCTGGGAGATCCAGTGGAGTCCAATCCCCTTCAGAAATGTTAACATTTCTCGATTTGCGTCATAAGCCTGCGTCAACATAAATTACGGGCTGGGGAATTGGAATTTATCGGTGACATTGCGATAACGAGCATTGTGAAAAAGCGCTTAGGAACCGCGACAGCTTCTCAAGTGGCACGACATACGCAATTATATTTGATATTTTTATGGCACATATATGTGCGTTTTGCCTGCTTTTTGCCAGCTTTTTGAGATCCCCCTGAAATGTTGACATAGAAAGCTGACAATAAGCGGCGACTTAAGCGCGTTTTTTACTTTTGTTTATAATGAAAGAATTTGTCCATAATTAACCAGATTGCCGCGAATGGGATATCACACCAATGACAACTTAAATATGGTCAATTTCTCATAGATCTGTTAGGCTTACTTTGTTGCTTTCGGTTGTGAGAGGAATGAAAACCCCGACATCACCAGGTTTTTTGTTTCTTTGCTGTGCAGATGAATCTGCATCCCCTGAGGTGACATCGCCTGGTCTGGGGGGCACATGCCAAATTGGTGTCACAAAACCGAATCATAAATCAAGCAAATTGTTATTATTATTATTGGTCGGCCAGCACAGGTTGGACACATGTGAGCCACATATATAGAGATATCTCCGAGCAAAAGATCGTAGAACAAGCGCCAAGCATCAGATCTCTCGCTCACTCCTGCCGATGGCTCTCTAGGAAAAGGCCATAAATCATGACAATACCCCAAAGCCGGCTACCCCATCGACATAGCTCCACAACAGCCATCCTCCATGCTTCACTGGACAATCATAATAATCACAGCCGGCTGCCGCACCACCAGCAAAAGCAGCAAATGCAGCAGCAGCAGGAAAAGCAGCAACAAAAGCTACTTACTATGTCTGCGTCAACCGATATGCAACTGATAAAAAGAAAAACTGTGTAGAAAATATACAAAAAATGAGACAAACCAAGTTGGCGAAATACCCTAGGAACTGCAAGGGATCCCCGATTTTTAGATTTGCTTAGCTGCTAATTTGTAATTTATCCGGTGGCCTTTAAATTGCCAAAAGCAGTATTTGCTTTCTGAAGTAAGCTTATGTGCTTCCCTGAACAATTTTTCCTATGTGGCCATTTATACTTTTGAAGGGAATATGTATATTAGGATCATATGTAGTACCCTATTTATGCTCATAGCTGAAAATATAGAGGGATTATTGGAACTAGAACTTAGTTTATTAAAATGTATGGATTCGATAAAATGCAGAGCACTATTTATGTTTAAGCCAGAAATTATTCAGGGCTTATTGGAACCAGATATAATTATATTAATATTTAAAAAAAAAAAGTTCATCACATTTTCTTACCTTTCCTATTATTAGTTTCATTCATGGAACTTTTTATGATAATAATCCTAACACTATGATAATATCTTTAACTCTGTATAATAAATGTATTCTTGAAGAATTTCAGGAGTTTTTCAGTGATGTTCAGTGCTGGAAATAGAAAACCAATGATGGGTTAGCTTAACCTAAGGTTAAAGTTGGTTTTTAATGAAACCAGGGCATTAGGTCTTCGGTATATCCCTGAAAACTATTTAGTTTTCCATCGCATTGATTGTTTTCTTTGTTGTGGCTGCCGCCGCCTCACTGCCCCCCTGTCCCCTTCCTAATCCTTCGGTGGCCAGCAAGCAGGAAAATTGACAATTGCGCACCTGCTTCATTTTCTTGTGCGGCTGCCGCCGAACGGCAAGCGGTCAACAACAATGCCACTGCCAATGCCGCGGCATCGTCTGGTTAATGGCATTTAACGGTCACCAAAATGCCCGCTGTGTAGCAGTAAACTTTCCCAAAAAAACACAATAATAATAATAGATAAATAGCTAAAGAAAATACGAAGAAAAAAAAACCATAAGGAAAAACTATATATTTATGTGGCCATCGAAGGCTGGCTTATGGATAATTTTAATGTGGATACCGGAGTTACATTGTTGGCTCCGACAATTTGCATAATGCTAGGGAAATATCCCTGGGCCGGCATTAATATTTCATAAATTGCATAAGCCGCCGCGCATTTGCTCTAATTGTATGCTAATTCGGCCATGCCCCAAATAAATCAAAGCCAGTTGAGTGAGTTATGATCGCGGATTTCTTGGCTTTTTTGCAGCAGCTGGCCCGGGCATCGAAATCGGCATCCTTTGTTAGAAGGCCGGTCCTAATTAAAAACTGCTTATGGGGGCCTATCAAACGGCCATCACCGTTGGCCAATTAAGCTTGGCTGGCCAACGGAAAATATACGAAATGAACCTGACCGCAAGATCAATGAGCCGTTGATGAAGTTGTTTTGATAACAACAACGGACTTTAAGGCCCTGCCCTGCCTTAGAAAACGTGCGCAATTTATCTAAATCAGTGCAGCGAAAAAGAGAGCTCTCCTTTGCCCTCCACTCCACTTGACAATTGGCATGGTATCTCTAGGATAGCAGTGCTCCCAACTTCTCCTACTCCTCGTGGCCAAGAGATAAACATCATAAATGCATTGAAATGTCATTGCCAAGTTGTGCTATCAGTCGCTACCAAAAACAGCAAAGTCGGCGATGGCGATAATAACCAGAAGAAGTACATACATATGGTTGAGTATAGTTATCCCGAATCGATGGGCACGGCCTCGTCCGAGGGATCTGAATCTATACCGTTACCCTTTATGCAATTACAAGTACGTGCAATTGCAATAGCAATTGCAATTGCAGTGGAGCTGCTTAATTAGAGGTAGTGAAGAAAAGCAGGAGCCAGCGAGCACTTGACTGCTCCGCTGACTGACTGATGATTATTTATCACCGTCGTGAGTCGTGCGACAATGACACGAGATAGCCTGAGGACCAGAGGAAACCTGGAGCTATAGATGTGGCCCAAAAGCCAGCAGCATCGTTAGCAACATTTTGTCTGCCACCAGACTGACTGACACTGGCTGACTGCCCCTTTGCCATCCATCCATCCATCCATCCTTACAGACAAACATACATAAGATCGGCCAATGGACACCTGGACGGACTGACAAACAGACTGGCCGGCCGGGCACTCAATCTTTCAATTTGAACTGCACTTCAATCAGTTCGGCTCAGTTCACTTCGGTTCAGCGTCATCATTTTGGGCTGACGTTCTGTGAGAACGAAATTAGTTTCCAATCAGAAGAAGCGCCTTCTATTCGCCCATTACACTGGAAATAAATAGTGATTTACTAGGCATTTTAATGGTAAATTATAGGAAGATTAGTTGGCACTAGATCATTAGTAATATGGGAAAAATCACTTGGGAGATTTAAAACCAAACCGAGATTCCTAATTTCCTTATTTCCTGATACTGTAATATTGTCTTACCCTTTAGAACTTAAATGTCGTAAACGATAGCTCTCCTGATACGGTTGGCAAAATATTGAATAAAATTTAATTTCCATCCAAATCGAATTGGTTTCACTGATTATATACAATAATACAACCTACTCTTATACCCAGACATCATTTGGGCACTGAAATCCAAGCTATGTGGACTAATCTCATCCTTTGCGCATTGCTTTGCGGACTGTTTCTGCCAACCCATGTAGATACTCGTAAAAGAAGTCCAACGGGTGCAGATATCAATATAAAACGCGTAACGAAGATTGGATCTTTCGAAATTAAGCAGGGTAAATCTGGTGCATAAAGTTCAGCCATAGTTACTATATCTATTGATTAATTTGCAGAAAGATGTCTGTTCACACCTAGTTACGGAACGTGCAGAAAGGCCATCAAGGTTTTTGGCTATAACCTTATGAGCAATCGTTGCCTGGAATACCTTTATAGCGGATGCGGGGGGAATCCTAATCGCTTTGCCAGCGAACAAAAATGTCGGGCCGCTTGTTTAGTGGTTTCCAAGAGGACAACCGTTCCGGCAATAGACTATTATGGCTAATAACTTCAAAAAGAATCTTAATCATATCGGTTTTAGGAAATACTTTAATGGTAGAACTTGAGAGCATTAATAAATTGTTACATTTTTCGGACCCCACCCCTTAGCGATATGCCCGATAAGCGTTGCGCTATATTAGTGCATAACTAATGCCCAATTCCCAACCAATTTGTTCTATGCGGAGCGACCGCAAGTCGCGCACTCAATGCAGCGGAACTAAACCATTAACGCCTCAAAAGCGCACCATACTCGAACATTCTAATGACTTTATTATGAGCAATGCAGGGCAGAGATACTCCGGGGCAGCACAAACACTATGTGGCACCATGTAGTCATAAGTTGTTGCAGTTGATGTTGCTGCAGCAACTGCAGTCGCAGCAACTGCTGCACCCACCCAAGCAAATGTGACGTCAGGGTGCGGCGTAGTCATCGCAGATCGGTCGGCGGCTTGGGGCCTTTCAAGTGTGCAGTTAGCTGAAATGAATACCAGACCGAACCCGAACCCAAACCCAAAACCGAGATCGGGCCATGACAGTACGTATATCAGTTGACGTTTCTCGGCTGGCGTTGACAATTATTTATGGTAATAAACAGTTCCGCTAAAGCCTGGCTGGCACTCTGCTCTTCTATCGCAGACACTAAATCCCAAGATCCGAAAATATTCAAAGCCCACATAATGCGCCTCTAATTGCTACGAAGTCGATGTGTTACAATAACCATAAAACGTAACGATTTCCACAATTGAAATGATCCCCACACGAAACGAGGGGTAATAATATATGCATATGTGTTTGCATCCGAAGGGGGAAGGCAGAAAAAAACAGTTCACAATTTGTAAGGCAACCAAAGTTCGGTTTCATTGTCAGCCAGCAATGGCTAAAAAATGGCAAAACAAATGGCCGGTGTCTCATTAATGCCACACAATGGTGGCAGCCAACGGCGTCCAAAATATGCAACATTCATCAATCACACAGCAAGCGAGCGGAGCTGACCCAAGCTGATGTGCACTGGAAAAAAATATACAGCGTTCAAGTCTATCTAATATAATTTTTCTGTGCCCTAGAAAAATATATCATTCAATGTCCTGCTTACCATTCTAAAAATAAATGAAGGAATAGCATATTAAAATAACTTTAGCTTTGGATTTCTCATTGTCAAGTTAACCTTTGACACTCAGCTAAATTTCTAATTCTCCAGCACTTTTCCAGATTTAGTGATCGTTAAATAAACATCATGGTTAGGAAACGAATATGTGTTCCCCAAAACAATTCATAGAACTTCATGTTAACTTTCTCTGAAAAATCACACACTATATCCATAACTTGACATTGAGAAATTTTAGCATAAGCTCTGTAAAATTCTACGATAAGAAAATGATTGCCTAAAACAAAGCACAAACTTAACAACAATTCAAGATATAAATAAGTATAACTTCATGTTAACATTCTCTGACAGATATCAAAATAAAATTTTAACATGACATTGAGAAATTGATCATAAACTGTGTTATATTAAAAACTTTGCCTTAAAAAATCTAAAAAGAACTAATATAAATACTAAACTATTTATTATAATTTTTTATAAAATGTTTTTTTTAAGTGTAAACTGAACGGAGCGTGGCGCACTCCGCTGGCCAGCGAATGAGAATGAGTTCACGCGCTGCACTTGAGGTCGAAAATGGACACTGGACGGGCGACGGACCGACTGTGTGCGGATTGATTTGCTTGGCGCATTTTCAAGTCAATTACACATATTTGTGGCATTTGCGGCAATTGAGTATGAATACTCATGCGGTGGGTCGTTCGGACCAGTCGTAGGTGTTGGCCGTCTGTCTATTTTATTTGTTTGTGGCTCGGTTTGTTTGCCAGTGTGCGAATGTGGCATGCCACAACAACTCGCCGCATGTGTCCGCCCACAAAACGAAGTTTATTTTTTCGGGGCTGACCAAGTGAGTCACGTTGGCAGTCGGGCGAGCCACAGAGCTATTTATATAGTCATAACTCATGTCCCAGTCACATTGCACAACGGTCACGAGGAACACGGTCACCAAAGGGTTAAGCGGAGGCTATTATCAAAACAGATGATGGGAAATGAGTCAAGCAAATACAAATATTTTAGATTATGATTAGTACAACCGAAAATGCTAGTTAGAAAAGAATTAAAATACCTTATAAGGTCTGTTTAGTTAGGAACGTGAAAAATATCTATTTTATATAGACGATCCCTTAAAAGGCTTTGAAAAAAAATGCTATAAGAATCATGCAATGCTTGAACTCGAAAGATAAAGAACTCTGTAAGTTTATAAGAAGTAGGTATCAAGGGGTTAAGTGCGGGTTCTTATCAAAACAGCTGATGGTAAAAGCTCTAACCAGCCAAACACAAACCAAAGCTTGAACCCACAACAAAGGTGTGATAAGAAAGCTCAACAGGGCGCATGCGTGATTTTCGGAGAGCGAGTGAAATGCCAGCGAAAGCTCAGTAACAACCACAAGTGATGGGCTGAAGGGCACCAGAGAAAGGGGTTCCACAAAAAGTTACTCATATTTTGTTTACTACATGTTACAATTGTGTTTTTTTGGTGGATAGCCGGGTAACGACTACGTGAGAAATTTCAGTTGAGTTTGGAAAACTTCGTGGGGACTGCGAAATATGAGCTTGTAACTGTGGGAACTGGTCACATTTCCGTGGAGGAAAGTGTTCGCAGAGCAAATGGGGCAGGCAATTAAATAGTTTATTTGTTCATGAAATTATGTAAAAATAGAAACTATGAAAAAACTATACTACACGAAAATATAATATTAATAACTCTGGTAAGGGAGAGTCACTTTAATAACTGAAAGCATTGTTTTGCACCAAGGTTGGTAAAAACTTACATTATGGACCTTATAATTTGAAAGCATTTCTTATATACAATTTTATTATATTACACCAAGGTTGATAGAAATTTACATTATGGACTGTATAAAAAGTTGTAATAAACTATAGTAATGACTATGAAGTACGTAACGATTGTAAAATAATAAACAGGTATTTTAGCTTAAGATTTACAGATACTATAACCCTTTTCACGGTTATTTAGTTGAAAAAAAAATAATCCGAGAATAGTAACTGCAGTTAGTTATAAATCGTCGTGAAAAGCAAGTACTTTAAGATAAGTTTTAAGAACCACCGTCCCACTTATCTAATCGCCTCTGTTTACACATGGGTAAATACTCCTAATTGCGGCGCCCCAAGATCTGCCAGAGATATAAACCAGATCCATTCCGGCCATTTGTCGGTGGCATTCCTTGCACAGATCATTAATCAGCCGATCGAGCCGATCGGTAACTCAATCCGCTGCATCTCGAAGACAGAACATTTTTGTTTATTTAAAGGCGTGTTCCCTTCCATATATGCTGCATTCCATGCTTTGCCCAGCGATTGCAACTACCTATTTATAATACAATATGCTCTCCCGAGAGATGTATCTTTCGGTCTCTCTGTACTGACTGTGCGTCTGTCAGTTTCGCACATGAAAATACGTAAACAAAAGCGTATTATCGCCCCCCGATAAACAACAAACAAAAATGTATTTGTTCTCTCAAGCACTCTCTCTATATCTCAATATATATATATATTATTTTCAGACTCAATGCTCAACGAATTTTCTCCGCTCATTCGCCCGCATTGTGAGAAGCAAAACAATCAAGTGAAAGCGCTGAAATTGTATTGTGGTTGGGCCGCAGCTCATAAACAGAGAAAAAATCAAAATCGGAGAAAAACTTTCGTCGGATACGAAACACAGAGTGCACAAGAGCAAAGTGCACGGCGCACGGCGGAGAGAGAATGCCAAGTTCCCAGTGCCAAGTGGTATATGGTATGGTATCTGGGAATTACATTTTACGGAACTAACGCAGACCCCGGGGCCCCGAACTCAGAGACAGAGTCAGTCGCACGCGAGAGTCGCTGACGGGCGGAGTACAAAATCGGAATTAAAAAAAAAAATAAAGAAATAAAGTCGGAGACGAAAAACGGAATAGCAGACGGAAACTGAATCCCAGTTCGGGAATCTCAAGCGGTGGGAAAAATGTGCTAGAGAAGATGTGCGAGGTTAAGGCGACGCCAACGACGACGACGAAGGCCCATAAATCGCAGCGGAATCAAATGAGTTTTATTCAATCAACGAAGAAAGTCCGCCCACCAACGGAAGTGCTATATATATAGAGTCTACGAGTCTACGTACGACATCCCAAATAAACTTTTAGCGAAAAGGTAAAAGCGAAAATTGTGCTATAGAAAATGTGTGTGTATATGGTAGTACACGCCTTTTAAGTGCACTAAACGAAATGCCAGTAACGAAATGTGAGGATGAGAACCCCCATCCGTCTATATATGCAAAGGGTAAACTGAAAGACGGGAAATACAATTTGCCAGACAAATGGTTTTCTAGTTATGGAAGTAAAACCAATGGGGAATGCCAGCTAGGGTCAACATCCTTTGACCCAATTATGGCTTAGGAACTGCACAATCTCTGCTGCCAATTGGCAATGCTGGCTTCTGTTTTGTTGTTGTGCCCTGGTGTCAAGCCGTTTATAATGTGGCTCAATTTCCGTTTGCCTTTCTTTGGGCCTGGCCTAAACGCATCCCCAGTAATAACCCCGTACATCCCCTTTCCCCTCGTTTGGGCTTTACTGCTGACACGCCTCAGAGTTTTGCAAGCGAAAAATTATGAATAGCTTGGGGGAAAGGATGATGGTGGGGTTCTGGGGCTTGGTTAAGGACTCTGGGGGCTAAGGACTTTGGGGCGGGGGTTCGGGAGTAGTTGGTGGTGGGCGCGGCAGAGCAGGCGCACTCCTTGCAACCGAGAGAGTTGCTCTCTCTACCTCTCTTTTAAACTCTCCAGACCCTTTCCTTACCCCCAAGGATGTGCCTAACCTACCTTTTGTTGAATTTCATAGTATGTAGTAGGATAAACGATATATGCCTCGGTGTGAGTGTGTGTAAAATCGCTGGGGGAGTGTGTGTAAGCAGGTGATTATCTGTTGCCGTCGTGTATTTATCTCATT